GAGAGAGTGTATTTCTCGCTTATTATCCTTTCCTTCGATTTCCTACCGTAAGGAAAAAGAATACTCGCCTCGGATGCTGGCTTATGTATCGACGGTATCGTCCCGCTGCTCTCGCCGTCTGTGACTCACACGCGCGAACCGCGTTAACGTGCACAACTCGGTTTCAAGATTTACAGCTCATTACCGATTTCATAGCCCGTAGTCACGACCAGGTCGCGGTCGCGGACTAACTCGAAATTTAGGCTCAACGCGATAAAGCGACGCAATGTGGTTGCGAAGTAATATCGGTAACACTACGCGATTCGACAAGTATATGTTTTCAATAGTATCGTACGTATAGGTGTAGTACGTTGCAGAAATATAGAAAAGTTTTCTGACGTGAAATATCAAACAATGATATACGAACGAAATATTTATTATACCGATGCCGCTCCACTGCGCCATAGCATGTAAAATTATACGATTGTTTGTTTCGCATCATTTGATCTTAATTTAGATGATATATAGTCTCGAACCACTATGGTCTCGTTATGTACAAATATATATACAATTTTATTATTTATATTTACAATATTTATTATTTATATTTCTGTTAGCGAGATAATACATTTTTCTGTGAATATTGTGTTATTAGAACATAAAAACATACTGACTCACTTAATCATCGCTACGAAATATCGACAATATCAACAATGTTATGTTAGCTGCGTAATACTTTTAGACAAATACGATTACTTTCTATCTATCAATAATAGATATATATCGCGTATATTTTATCGAATTTCGCATATTAAATTGAAATGCGCGCCAACTTATGTATTGCATTACCTTCTAATTTCCTCGATATTCTTTGGATGTACAATTTCCTTTTGATTTGATTCCGTTGAATCTTCTGATTTCTCACAGGCGGCTCGAGAAATATCACTATCTTGATTTGAAGGAAATATCAGGAAAGTCTTTCATCCGAAATACCGTCTCGGATATCGACGATTTCTTTCACGATTTCACGATAGTGATCAGTGATATATAGGGATATCTTGACAGATACGCATGTCACGCATTTGTACGCATTTACGTACACGGTTAGAAAACACTAAGACAATCTTCTAATTGTGGAGCACTAGATAAGTCACTGAATAAGGACTCTCGTTAGATTGCACGAGTACAGTACCACGAGGCTCGTCACGTTGACAACGATCACGACAATGACGACGATGAGTATGACGAGGTGATCGTAACGTAGCATAACACTGATTCGACCGATGCGTGCATGAACAGCAGCACGATCTAAGACACGAACACTGGGTTCGCGTTAACCGCTCCACGCTCATGGAAATGTCAAACGACGCAACGTTTAGCTCGGTATACCGTCGCGCCGGTAGCGGCGGCCGTCGCTCGTGTGGGAGTGTGACATAATATAACAGCGTCGGTAATTTTGAGTGCGTTGCACGTTGATTTAACCGGTTGTCACGAGATTCACGCCACTATTCGCGCTTCTAATTCCTCTAATAAGAAATCGTTATCCTGACAAAAATTGAACGAGCAATTTCATATATCGTGCTTATAGTTCTGTGTATATTACGCGTTTACCGATCTAATTACGATTCTTTTTTATCTAACCGTTTTAATTTCACGTCAATCGATCTATAGCCTACGTGATTCAGGTCGAAACGTGCAGGCTTGTCTATCGTTGATCTCTGTCGATAGCTGGTCGGGCGCGTGCGTCCAACTCGGTCGCGGCAGCCGGCCCGGCTGACTCTCGCGTGTTCCGTGGTGCACGACTCGAGCGCGAACTGAAGTCGAACGCGCCGTGAGGTGAGCGGAGGTGACTTGCGACTCGACTCGACTCGACTCGACTTCGCTCGACTCCCCTCGACTCCACTCGACTCGACTCGGCCCGGGCCGAA